GTTTTTCTTTTCGGCAAAATATTTATCCGACGATTCGAGTTAAATTCGGTTTAAGCCAGTCCGGTTTAACATAAATCTGTTTTTTTCATAATCGTATTTAAACAATTCGGGTTTTAAATTTTACAACCGATTCCGACCTCTATTTTTGAGCGTTAGTCATTATATAGTACAAAAGGGCTACTAAAAAAAGAATGCGAACGGACTTTAAAATTTAAATTAATAAAAATAATATCGATATGCATTATTTAAAGTTACTTCAGACTATGTTTAGAAGTTTTTCCGATACCATGAATCTTCATTTTATTCAGATTTTACGAAATTTGAAATTTTGCCAATTTAATTCGATTTTTTGCCCGATAATTTAATTTGCATTTTACATACAATGTTCACGTTAATAAAGCAATTTCTACTTTATTTGATATCTATAAAAAGAAATAAAAAAAAATGATAATATCATAAACGATCTTACAAGTCATAATATTTGTAATATCAGATATGAAAAATAAACGAAAAAATATATACGAAAAGAAAGATTTTCATTTAAGCCAATTCTATTAGAATTGGGAATCGTTATCAAATAAAATTATAATTGATGTCATTATCAAAAAATGCGATATTTGGATCGAAAAAATTGATGTTATAAAACATAAAAGAATGTTGAAAAAAATCACATCCTACGACTTGAGGATTAGGATTAATGATATTTTCGGTCGTTTCGGCACATTGATCAATTTCTTTAGGTGTGAAGGTTTCGAAATTTCCTTCCAAGTCGCCGTTTTGGAAATTTAAACTTTTTTTCTTTGGTTTATAGCTGTAGTTTGGATAAATTTCCTTATGTTTCTTAAGAGCAATTAGCTCTAATTGTCTAAAAAAGATTCTTACCGAAGCTGGTTGTTCACTCCACTTTTTGGCAGCTAAAGTAGAAATGTCCCTTTCAAAAAATTTCACACCCTTATGCAAGGACCTATGTGCAACGGCAAAATCTTTCCTGAATAGCAGAAAACTATTTTGCGGACGAGGGGGCTTTTTTTTCGAACGACGGGGATTTGTCAAATCTTCGATATTTAATGTCAACTTAATTGTGCAGCTTCACAAAACAATTCTTACCAGAAAGATTTCAAAGAAAAATTTTTGGGCGTCACTAAAGATTGATTGCGAAATGACGTAAAGCCGTGTAACCCTTTATATGTCATTGTGTCCTTTTTTGGTCGACAACGAATCTCATAAATCAGTTTTCCGGACTTGTGAGTCGCATTACCTTTCATTGCGCTTGACATTATTTTTAGATATCATTTATAAATGAACTATTATTAGAATATACTACTGTAATCAGATTTCTTGTATAGTATA